GAGGAATGACAGAGGAATAAGAGAGGAATAGTCGGGGAATAGAGGAATAGCGGAATTGAGGAATAGGGGAACAGCGGAATAGAGGAATAGCGACCGACCGACCGGAATATATTTTGAAACGTTCCCTAAACCGATTGCTTTTGAAAAAATTTTTGGTGCATCATGAAGAGCATCGTGTGCTGTGTATGAATGGTTCAACGTTTTCTTGATGTCATTGCTAATTAACCTTCTAAGTTGATTATAAGATCAATGAAGACGGTAAAATATTTCTGGAATATCGCTAAAATTCTTTCCAAGCATATAATGCGTTCAAGAGAGGCTCTTTTCGCCCAAGTTTCACATCGTATGATAGATTAAAGTATTCTGAACGAAGTGACCGGGATTACCCCATGAAAAATGGTAGAGTGACTGGAATTACCCCATAGCACGTATCTCTAAAAAATGACTATGTCTTTTGCTTTCTCTAAATTGGAATTAACTAATTAATGGTAAGTACGACCGCAGTGCAAATTAGACAGGTCGATAGTACTGACAATTCTACATATGATGGTCTAATTTTTAATTACAAGGGTGAAAGTTCACAGTTGAAAAAAGTTGGTTTAGTTTTGTACCAGTCATTTTGGCTGTGTTGACCGGAATCAGTGGCAGTTCGACCATTACCCCCATACTTTTTTAAAAATTTGGTCAAATTTACTCCCAATTTGTGAAAAAATATGAAGTATTTACTCCCAAATTTGGGAAAAGATAAGGACGATTTACTCTCATTTCGGAGAAACTCGGAGAGTGATTTACTCCGATTTTGAACAAAATCAAGACCCATTTACTCCCGTTTTGAAGGAAGTCATGGGCCCTTTACTCCCAATTTTGGAGAAACTCGGAGAGATTTAGTCCGATTTTGAACAAAATCAAGAACGGTTTACTCGTAATTTGAGAAAAGATAAGAATGATTTACTCCGACTTTGGTTTTTTCGAATACTAAAGTGCTGCTTTCTCCGAAAACTGATATTAAATGTGCTCTTTGAAGAAGCTTTCTTAACCGACTCAGATGGCTTATTTCTATTTTTTTCCGCCTACGCCTGAGAAAATTACGGTGAATGTAACGTTTAGGCAAACTTAATGAGTGATGCTCATCAATTATTTATACTTCACCATGAGCTCGGAGAGTCAGGGGCTTATTTTTGGAGACCTTACTCCCATTTTTGGATAGCTAAGAGTCAGATCTATCTATCTGTGCAAAACCGTTTTTTTCAGTTTAAAAATGACTTAGCTATGAGCAAAATACTGAAAAGATTTCTGACATTGACTGGAATTACCCCTTGTGACGATTCTTTGTCACAACCTCTCTGTCCTGTATATACTTCTTTCGGTAGGGCTACTCTCTTTTGTTCTGTTCTGTTCTTTGTCTGTTTTTGTTCTTTCCTCGCTTTGTTCTTTTTTGGTTCTTATCTTTTGTGCATGCAGTAGTACATATATATATTAGTATTTTTCTTGTGTGAAGTTAGTTTTTGTAGTTTCTGATAAAGAGTAGTCGAATAAAAGAGTAATACTACATATCTTAACGCAGGCATACAATCAACTCAAGGACTTATAATTAGAGGAAATATAGGTTCCTCACACTTAGCGATCTCGTCTTGCCGAACCTTCCGTTCTCCTGCAAAACTCTTCTTTTTCTTTTTTTCTTTCTATCTTTCTTTATATTGTCTGGTAAGTCACATTGGTTTTTATCATGGCTGAATCTCCTAATTTATCCACCTTCGAAAGGTCCATCCAGGACCATCTTCAAACGCTTTATGATAGTTATCGCTCTCAGACTGTACTCACAGATTCTCAAATGGAGGAACAAAATGAAAAAATTGACCGTAAGAATCAGCATATCGAGAATCAAATTGAACTTCTTCAACATGCAGTCCATGCATTGCAGTTGAAAGTAGATGATACTTCCTTGGCTACCAAAAACCAGTTGGAACGTTTGGCTCAAACCTTAGAGGATAGTCATCTTGCACTGCGCACTGCGCTCGACCAGCCCTCCGTACCTTTGCCTCTTCCTCCACTTGATCGTTCATCGGTTTCTGAACCACTTATTGTTTCCCCCTCTCTTCTCCGCCCTTCTTCCGATACTCATCCTTACAGTTTCCCTAGTGTACACTTTTGGGACATATCATTCGAACAGGGACAAGAAGAAGCGCTATTCGAACTCGGTGATTTTGTCCTTATCGGTAAGGAACATCGTAAACTCCCAGCACGAATTACCCAAATTCTCTTTCTGCAGTCGTTTTACTAGAAATCATCCTTTTGGGGTTGCAGTTGAAAAGTTGACGGTTTTGAAGTTTCTCAGTATTTTTCATGCAGCCTCTCGCTTTTCTGTTTTGGAATAAAACGCTTAGTACATTCTTTTGTCCTAAGTACACAAGTAGGAGAAATCTATAGACAAAGGTAATGAATAGACATATTGAATAAGTCTTACAACATTAATGTAATATCTATTAATTCGCATGAAATCATTACAAAACCCTTTGAAAAATCACAATCATTTGACTTCTTTTATAAGTTAAGTCTTATTTTTACTTACATAATAATATTTTCTGTTTTAATTGGATGATGTTGAAGTAAATAAACTATTGAGGAATGGAGTGCTGCTGTAGTAAAAATTCTATATGAGATTATTATTGCATAGACAAATGATGAAAAATATTCATACGATTTCGATGATCTAAATGATAAATAAAGATAGGAAATTTCGTTATTTGTTACTGTTTCTTACTTATATAGTTTATAGATTAGAGAAGAATATTTTTCAATAAAATAATTTTCTTTTGTTAATGTCATCACGGTACGAATATTTTCGATAGCTTCGCTTGAAAACTACAACAATGAGAAAAAAGGAGAAAAGAGTCCAACAACACTATAGATCAAAATACTAACGGACTAAATTTGTTCATTTAACGATTGGTTTTTCTTATTCATACGATTTATTAAATAGGTGTCTAGATATGCGAGACCTGTGCAGGTGTGCTCGTGAGAATTTTGCCTGCTGGAACTGAATGTGCAGGCTTGTTAGCAGGTTCTGCCATAATAATCTTTTTTTACAGGGAGTGCAGCCGAATGACTTTCTTTTCTATCAAACCAAGCAACTTCTTGACATAACATTGAATAAAACGCTTTAAAACGAACATGCTCAAGTAGACGTGAACCAGAAATAGAAAAATATAAACTCTAGAAAAACAGAGTAAAAATGCTTTTTTTCAAAACGTCATTATATATGACACAATAATTCTATTACCTGACATAGTTTACCAATGAAACCAACAACACTAAGACCAAACAATACGAAACAACAGAATAAAAGATAACGATCATAATGTGGTTTATTAAAAAGCTTAAATAAGGTTAAATAAATAATACAACGGCAAGAAAGCAATTTGAATATACAAATCAGCTTCAACTTACAGCAATTATTTTTGCTAAAATAATAGCATGAATCGGAAAAATAACACCAAGACAAAAACAAGCTATAGAACCACAGATAATATAAAGCCATTCGAATTTATTCATTTCTAATACTTTTAAAAACGCTGACCTTTCTTCTTCTTTTTGCAGCTCAGTTTGAATCTAAAGAAAAGTGCAGGTGAACAGAACGGATAAGAAAAAGGTTTTGTTAGGGTAGATCTTTGTTTCTTGTCTACCACTCAGTATTCACACTCATGCTTGGAGTTTTCGAACGACATCTTCGCATAGGCTAATTGTTTTTGTTGTCACTTCTCATCGCGCGTTACTTTCTAACAAATCGTTTTTCACATGAATCAACAACATGCTGAATTCAAGAATTTGTTCTTATTGCTATAGCATCATCAAGACTGCGACATTTGTATTAACTCTTTTTTCTTAGAAGTCAAGTCTGATCCTTCACAATTGTGTTTTTTCAGCCTGTAATCATGCTTCTATTTTTACTAGTCTCTTAGTGTTGCTTGCAATTTCTGTTTTTGTCGTTTCATCTTCTTTCCTTTTGTAAATAGGTTACTCTGGGAAAGATTGCCTGTTTTGAATATTACGTTTTCCGTTATACGGAAGTGGACTCAGCCACACTGCTTGCCTACGTGTCGAAGAAGTTTGTGATAACCTGGGATTGACATGGAAGTGCTCACCTTTACAATTCAAGCGACTCCGCCGTGTTTCATATTCTACTCTCTCAGGAATTGTGCTAAAAGCTTTCTTACAAGAGAGTCTACTTGCAAGTTTTGCACAAATTTTGTGTGAAATCCTCCACGTATTCCACTCAGGTAAGCATATCGCGGAAATTTTCGGGTAAATCGCCTGAAAACAATTCTCTTTTTTACAATTATGACTGATATACAGTTGTTCGTTTCAGAAAAACCTTTTCTCCAAATTAGTTTAAAATGAAAATTTATTGAAATCATTAACAACAACCGTTCTTTCGCATCTTTTGTAAATAAAATATCAGTTCTAAAGTCGAATTATCCATAAAAATGCATTCCACACAAGTGAACAAGTTGTTATTCTTCATTGTTATGGTGGTAGGAAGAGCTTATCGAGTCCATGCATGCCTGCTGTCTTTTCGACGAAGATCTTATCGAGACGTTGAGATTGTGCTTTGCTCATTGTTAATGACCAGCTGCCAACAACACCTTTTCGAATTAGTGAAAACTCGCAATTCTGCAAGCTACTCTTGTTAATGGGCCAGAGTGCAGTGGGCGATTCGTTGGCAAGAGCAACGCGTGCTTGAGCTGAGTATGCCCTGCCATACCGTTCCTTCATATAGTCGAACGACGGGTAGGTAACAATGCGCTCGAGCAAATTACTATTGAGTTCAATAGCCAAAAACTGAGCAAGCCGACGGATAACTGATCGGAGGTCACGCTTCATTTCTTCGTAGGACGTGAGGAACACATTGACGTCGTCTTTTTGTTGCCACGTAGAACGTAGATGCTCAAAATAATCACCAAAATAAACATTTCCATTGATAAACGCTTCGAAGAACGCATCGAATGAAGCTTTATCGGGCTCACCACCAGTTAGTTTGAGAATGAAGTAATAAAAAGAAACGCACACATCCTTTGGATTCCGTACCACACAGACATATTTGGCCTTCTCGCAATAAGGAATACGATTGAAAGGCAAATGAGTTTTAATAACGCACGGCCGATGCATGTTGTTTATGCCTCGCTTACCTATCTGTTCCAGATAAGGTGTACGGGCAAAATATTCGGCCATATTGTTGTTGAATGCTTCACCGTCATTCATTAGTGTGTATAGAATGACTTCTGCCCATGTCGAGCCTGATTTAGGATAGACAGAAAGAAAAATATCGTCTGGTCGTGGCTTGTAGTTTAATGCTGGGCGAAATGTTTCAACGTCGTAATCAATGGAGACTGGAATACCATCGATCACTTGTACTTTTGGACATACTTCAGCCATGGTTTGTCTTGGGCTGTATATGTATATAGGTTTAACTTATGTTTGTATAATAAGTAGTATGATAGGATAGTACAATTGTAATCACTAATTACGGGTATAAAGGTGTGCAGTGAATCGAAAAAATACGTATTTAACTCAGAAAAAGTTGGATGAAATGCTTACTTCTTGATAACAATTATTACTTATTTACTTGAAGAACTGTCATCAAGAATTGTATCAGGGAATCCGCCTTTTCCCATTCCGTGCTCCCGAAATCGTCTGACCACTTGAAGTTCTGTTTTGCTTACGTAACCGACAGAGTACACAGCATCAGATTCTAGGTGTTCTGGAGTTGAGTCTTTAATTTGGAAATAAGTTTGTACACTTGGTGAAGGCTTCAATATAAAACGAAGGTCCACTTCTGGAAGCCTTCGCCCTGCAAAATGACATAACCGTGTTTTGAGTACATCTGTCTGTCTTCCGACATGCGGAAGCTTAACATAAGTATGTTTTTTGTTTTCAATGTCAAGTGCTGTAGAAGTAAGTTAACAATTACTTTTATCTAACCATTTACTAAGTTCTATACCGATATGTGTATTAATAAACGTTTTTGGATATCCGTTTAGCGTAGCAAGACGCTTTATTTCCTGAAACTCCGCATCTAATAATTTATAAGTGGAGCAGATTGCAAGTGATCTTTGAATCAGATCTTTTTATAGCTGCACGAAACACATGAAGACCATTTAGTCATTAATCCAATAAAGCTCTTTTTTCGATGGACAGTTGTCTGCTAACAGTAAATCTTCAATAGCCAAACATAAATAAGGAACTCACTGTTAAAGCATTTCGTGTTTATCATTTTACTGCTGATCCAGCTGTTGGGTATGTTATTAAATATAAAAATAACAATTAGTGGCGATACAGATACGTCATTCATAAATAAGATGATCGATCTTTTTGCGAATATTGACCTTCTCCTTTCTCAGATAGCTAAAATGCATGTTTTAAGAGAATGCATTAAGTTTTGAATTGAAAACGTTTGATGAAGTGAAGCGTGTTGTCTCATAAACACAAATTGAATAAAGTTTCGGCCTTTTCATTGATTGTACAATGTTTTCATCTTTTTCATACAAAACAACAGATATCAATAAAATACCTGAAAGGTCGCTGGTCTATTTCTTGGAATTTCTCAACAATTTTTAAAATGATTTTAGAAAAATACTCTTGTTCGTATGCAGCAAAGAGAACAAAAAAATGAGGAGGAAAGAAATTCACCTGGCTTCACTTTCAAGGAAGGGGGCGTGGAGAATAGGAGAACCGAGCAGTTTCCAAGAGAAAATCTCGTTTATTAAACTGTTTTTTGGTCGGTATAACGGCTTGGCCAGCTAACGGTACACCAGAGTGTGGAAGTATGAAGCGTTAAATGAAGTGGTAAAACTAATCTTATGTGAAAGAGCACACTTTAAGGTGTAGGAAAATAATTTTCGTTTGTTTGTACTAGTACCTGAACACATGGAAAATATTCGGTGAACATGTACTCGAAACAAATCTCCCAGCAGTTTATTTTATGCACGCATCTACAGAAATATAGAAGAAAAAGCTCCTACAATAAACAGAACGAAAAAAAGATGAAATTCCGTAACGACTGCTCTTTCCTCTTTTCATCACTTGGCAGTGAGAACAAAAACAAACCAAATAGATATTCAAATAGCTCTCATATTTACCTACAACTTCGTCGTGAGAAATTTGTTCATAGCACATTTACATTCGGAGCATTTTTTGTTATACTGAAAACATTCGAAAATCACTTCCATTTTCTGAAATTCCGTAACAGTGAGTAATTTCAAGTTTTCTCTCTATAAATGCGAGCCAGAGACTTCAAATTTTCACCGCAGCTAGAACTTCACTAACTACACTTGTAATAAAATTTTTAACTCTGAGGCTCATCCATGTCAAGAACTAGAGGGTTCAGAATTCTAAAAAATGAAATTCCGTAACGTTTGGCCAAGCCGACAAGCTTTAATCTGTCAGAATACAAGCGGAAAAATATCCCATTATAGTATTCTAAACTAAAACTATCGAAACACACAAAATCAATTTTGTACGAATAGAGATTCGAACATGTGAACTTAGCTTTGCAGAAACTGCACAACTTCTGAGTCAGAGACTAAAAAGGCTGACATTTTCATTTTACTCGTTTTCGTTTGCTTTGGTGTTTCATTAGCTTCTTGAGACGACATCGTACATATAGATGCAAAATAATCATTAAGGATGTTAGCCTTATCTTTAGAATCCATCATGAGTTCACCATTACTAGCTCTTATCGGAAGAATAGAAGATAAGACATTAGCACCTAAAGTGTGTTTAACCACTGACCGCCACCGTTTCGATTTTGTATTCAAGTCTGTCGACAATTTCCTGGAGAATGAACGTTTTGCTTTCATACATTCGGCTTCAAATTCCTTAGCTATTCTTTTAAAAGTCAACCAGTCACGCTCATTTCTTGTGGTTTAATAGTGTTTATAAGCCTTATTTTTTACTCTTACAGAAGAACGTAGATATCCGGTAAACCAGGGTTTATCCCTTGATGATAGCGTGATTAATTTGTTCGGTATGAACAAATTCACAACTTCAATTATTCTATTTTGAATAAGGTCAACAGCTTCATCAAGAGAGCATCCGTAAATTAACTGATGCCAGTTACTCTCAGAGAGCTACGACGATATCCATCCCAATCAGCTGCTTTATAACCATATATTACTCGTTTAATCTGTTTAGCAGGTGTAGAATTACCAGCTAATTTAACATTAATGATCATGTGGTCACAAGTTGTATACAGTTCAGGTAGAAGAGCGCCTGAGTGTATGCATAGAAGATTACTAACAAAAACAAGGTCTAGACTAGTGTCAGAGTTTCGTCGTGTAGCTTTGTCAACTAATTAAAAAAGAGAACATGCATTAGAAAAATTAAATAGACTAAGGCCTGCACGAGTAGAAGGCTTTGAGGAATTAGTGTACCAGTGCTTACAGTGACCGTTAAAATCACCCATCAGTAGTAAATCATCGTGTTTGTATAAGCTATTGGTGAGCGCTTATACTACTACATCCTGTAGATACTCAACGAATGAATGAACGTTTACCCATTGTGGCCTACAACATGCACCTAAAAAAATTACCTTAGTTTTTGAGAGTTTAATTCGAAAAAATATCGTTTCATAGTCAATATTTTCCATATACTGTGTATACACAGTACGAATATTTATATTTGAAACTTGAATTAGATTCGGAGTTCTCTGCCCGAACGACCTAAGTGTTTTAACGGTTAGCTGTAAAGAAAAGACTTTATATCAGCAAAGGCCAATTTAATTCGCCAAAGCTGGTGGGTGCGTGGAGTATAACTCGTGTACGTCAGATGCACGTAAAAACCACAGTAAGTACATTCTAGTTTAATTTACTTTAAGCTGTAAAGTTGACGTAATTAAGGGTGATTTCATTTGATCAGTGAACTACAGAAGAAAATTGTCATATACATTTCAAGAATCTAAAACACTGTTACAAAAAATCCGTAATCTAGGTACGGTACGCTAATCAGAGCACCAACTGGTACATTCTTTGGATCATACTGTTTATTTTGTTCCTCCACATTAGGTACCGAAGTATCGGCCAGAAAGGCGACTATGCCGAATGTATCACCCAGCTTCATTTCGTATGTTTTTATCTTGCCTGATCTAAAATCAAATTCATACAACTATGAGGATATACGACAAAGTTGAAAAATAACTTCTTTACGTACCGGTGAAGATGGCAATCATTAATTCTTTCTGAAATAAAAACGTCCAAGCTGTTGAACTTTATATCAGAGTTTGAATACTTTTCTTTCCCAAGCCTCGACGCGCTTCCCAACCTGTTGTTCTAAACCAGGTGATTGTCCATGCATCGGACGCGGCTGTTGCTGCTGCATCGAACGGTGACGTTCGAGATTAGCTAGCGAAACAAAAAGCTGAAGCAAAACTTGGGTACCAGAATAAATGTTCCTAGATGGATACCGTGATTCCCCGTCATTCTAAATTAACCACCATCGTATACCTAGCGCGAAATAGTCTAGTCGTGGGAGGCATGGAAAAAAACGTAGAGAGATACATATAGTCGGCTGAAGATTTTTGATGAAGAAGATGAAGTTAGAAGAAGCATATAAATGGAAGATGAGCGCACAAGGGAAAGGGTTCAGTGTGAAAACGACTCTACCAACATCCAGTTTTCTAGGGAAAACAACGAAGTTCTTCTGAAGAAACACAATGTTTTTGTGGAAAAGAGATGATCTTCAAGTGAAAAAACATGCAGTTGCCCTGGCAAAACGATGAGGTTCTTCTGAAGAACCATCGTGTTTTTGACGAAACATGCACTTGCGCTAGAAAAGCACTGAAGTTCTTCTGAGAAAACACCATGTTTTTGTGGACAAGAGATGACCTTTAAGTCAAGAAACATACATTTGCACTCGTAAAACGATGAACGTCCTGTGAAGACGCATCGTCTTTTTGACGAACCATGCACTTGCGCTGGGAAAACGATGAAGGTCTTTTGAAAAATCACCGTGTTTTCCAGGACAAGAGATGACGTTATAGTGAGGAAACATTCATTTCCGCCGGGATATCAATGAAGTGCTTGTGAAGAAACGTCAGGACAGGAGATGACCCTCTAGTGAAGAAAACATGCAGTTGTCCTGGGAAAACAATGAAGTCCTTGTGAAGAATCATCGTGTTTCTATGGAGAAGAGAGGATCTTCGAGTGAAAAAACATGCAGTTGCCCCGGGAAAGCGATGATGTTCTTGTGCAGAATCATCCTTTTTTTCAGGACTGGAGATGACCTTCTAGTGAAGAAACATACAGGTGCTCTGGGTAACGGTGAAGTTCTTGTGAAAACACATCGTGTTTTTCCGGTCAAAAGATGGCCTTAAAGTGAAGAAAGATGTATTTCCACTGGGAAAAGTGTGAAGTTTTTGTTTAGAAACATCGTGTTTCTTC